GGTGATCTCCATTTTCTCTCCATATGTTGTCAGCAACGCCTGATTTTTCCACTTCCCCTCGTGTTACAGCTTTCTGGTGTTCTTGAAGCCTTACCTTAAAAGGGCGGCCTGTTTCCCCTTTATATTTCTTTAAGCCCGTCAGATCTAATGATTGTTCCCCAAAGAGGATGCAGGTTCAAATCCTACCGGCGGAAAAATATTTTCTGATACGATTTCTCGAAATGAATATTGGAGAAATCATGTCAGAAAAAATGTAATTAATTAAATATAAATACTGTTTAATTAAATAAGCAGAGCATTTACTCGAATATGAGTAGCCATCTAAAATAACGTTTAAACAAAACTCAAATTAATATATATATGTAAAGTGTTCGATGGATAAATTGTCATCTAAATTACACATGAATGAAAAAAAATTGACATCTCATTTTAACAGATATATCTACTAAAATTCCACAAATATATTTTGAATTTACTAATTTAACTATAAAATTTACTACATTCGCCATTGGCTTCATCCACAACCTCCAGACGACTTTGGAATTTCCTGCAATTCTTCTGGGCGGTCACTTTGTTTAAGTTGGTGAATGCTGCCATAATCCTTGCCTTCAGTTCATCTTTGCTCTTACATGGAGTTTTGTTTGTCTCTCGCTCATCTGCGCCCCATATATAATAATCACGAGGTTGGGGGTACAGTCTTGGGAGTTAGGTGGACAGATGTAAAGCGTAATGTGGTTGTAAACATTGTCTGACAGCCATGACTTGGTTCTCCTGCTTGTGGGAAATAGTGCAGAGTCCTGTCGCCAGATATAGTGTCTTCCATCAGCCACTCTCTTGATCCAGGGCATCACTACCCCCTCAAGTAACTTGATCTAGGTCGTCGTGCTAAATCTGAGAAACTGTAGGAAGATAAATGGAGGCATAACTTCATCATCACTGGTGGTCACTCCAAGCACATCGTAATCACCATTAAACTCATCCAACTCAGCCCTGTCCTCAGATTGACACCCCAAAAGTCTTTTTATCCCACTCTTATATTCTCTCTATCATTGCCTCTCCACTTAGTTTCAAAAATATTAATTAGTATTAATATTAATTCTCCATCCTTGTAATATTTATTTTATTTTTATCTTCATTTCCTATTTTTATTTTCTATTTTCCTTCACCCTCACCCGTCCTGGGTATAACGATAAACTACAAAGCGTCCAGGGTAAGACGATAAACTAAGTCCAACAGCAAGACCTCTGATGAGGATGCTTTGAGGAGCGTGGAACCACCTCTTAATTGTTAATGTTCCCAGGTCCACCCCGGCCTGGGGTGGCAGCACCTGTTAGGGCCCCAGCTATGGGCAAATAGTTAACCCCAAAACTGAGGTAAAAAGTATTATGAAAGTGTAAATATAGGTTTTAGTACCAGAAATATTTTGTAAAAAATTAATGCCAGAAATATTTATTTGAAGAAAAAAATATTACCAGTAATACGTTTTGGAAATAAAATATTATCAGAAATACGTTTTTAAAAGTAAAAAATTACCAGTTATACAATTTTGAGGAAAAAAAAACTTACCAGAAATAGATTTTTGACAAAACAAAAATATTACCAGGAAAAAACAGTTGACGGCATTAAATGACCCATTGAGGTTGATATGCCGTAAAACAAAACAAACAAAAATAAACCAAATTTTCCCCTCAAATTTCCTCTACTATTGTTTACTTTATATTCCCTCCAATATTGTTTTGCCCTCACCCACATTTATAGTATATTATCATTAAATATATTATTATTGATATATTCTAATATTATTATTAATATATTTTCCCTCACCCACACATTCTCTCTCACATTGCCTCTCTCCTTAGTTTTCGAAAAATATATTATTACTAATATTAATTTTCCTTCTTTCTAAAATGTGATGTTTTTTCAATATAATTTTTTAATATATCTTTTTTAATATACATATTAATTTTCCCTTCCTTCCTTTACATTTCAACTATTCTTCTTTAATCGTATCCTTCAACCATAATCACTGCTAAGAAGGTTCCAAAAATAAACAAAGGATTAGCGGATCACTATTAATCTCCACTGAGTGAAAAAAAAAACCTTAACTGTCGAGACCATGGTAGTATGAATGTTTATTATTCCTTGACTTTTTATATATATATATATATATATATATATATATATATATATATATATATATATATATTCGGACCTTTCAACGGACTATCGGCTCTAGGTTTTCAGTTCAATATCCAATTTTATATTTACATACGCTCTATCGCTGATACTGAACACTTTTACCCATAAATATACCATAGCATAAAAGTGTATTTTATCACATTATATCTATCTATCTATCTATCTATCTATATATATATATATATATATATATATATACCTTGATGATATTGAGTTATGTCGAAAGTACTCGCTGAATAAATACAATATCTATTATCACGGCGTTTTCCTCTTGTCTTTCAACAATCACACGTGAATATGAAAGGATATATATATATATATATATATATATATATATATATATATATATATATATATATATATATATATATATGTGTAATAACATATTTGTGTGTCATGCAATAGATATTTTACATATATATTTTCTGTATAAAAGGAAACAACCTTTAGATGATAGCGGTCCTAATAAAATAGGTATGAAAAGCAAATGATTCTATTCACAAACATTGTATGATTTCATTGCACGCTTTTCTTCTATCTCGGAGAGACGGAAAGAAATCGTATGGTTTCTTTGCCTTTTACAAGGAACAGAAGTTAAAATAAGTTTGTCAAAGCCAACTTGAAAATAATAAAAAGCGAACAGACATTGAAAATATATGTTGTCTCTCTTAAGTGAAGACATTTTTTGTAGCCTTTATTTTAATCAGACTTTGCTTTGTTTTTTCGGTTTTTTTTTTTTCGTTTTATTGAGGCGGAGCGATGCAAATTTAGCATGAAAAGTGATTTTGGAACCGATGAAAATCTGCGGAAGTTTTCGTATCACGATAAGGGAATGATTGATAGAGAAAAATCCGAGGGGAGAGAAGGATTAAAATAAAGATAACAAGGAAATAAATTGGAAATGAAAGAATTGGGAAAAAAAAGAAGGGAAAAATGTTCGCATAAAAAGAGCAGAGATACGGATACAGATCGAGTGAGATAAACACACACACACACACACACACACACACACACACACACACACACACATATATATATATATATATATATATATATATATATATATATATATATATGTATATATATATATTGAAAGCGAGAGATGTAGGCAATTACTGAAAACATATTTTAATCAAACCTTATTTCTAATTATTATGAATATTAATTTAGTGTAGATACGTGTTTGCGTAAACTGCAAACAGTGAAATGAACGCCTACCGGAATGTTTATCGAAAGTCTTATTAAGAAATATGAATATCTCAACCGAAATTCTCTGGTTTCAAGAACGTCCTTAATCGACACGGTAATTGGACGTTTCCCTGTAAAAATGTTCAAATTTTCTCCAATAAGAAATTCGACGATTCCCACCCGTTATACTTTAGCTTCACTGTTTATTAATAATCAGGAATATCCATTTACACACATGTATTCACTCAATGTCTATCGCAGTAATAGATAGATAGATAGATAGATAGATAGATAGATAGATAGATAGACTGAGTTTGATAGATAGATAGATAGATAGATAGATAGATAGATAGATAGATAGATAGATATGGACAGACTGATTCTGATAGATAGATAGATAAATAAATAGATATAGATAGATAGATAGATAGATAGATAAATAAATAAATAGATATAGACAGACTGATTTTGATGATAGATAGATAGATAGATAGATATAGACAGACTGATTTTGATAGATAGATATATAGATAGATAGATAGACAGATAGATATAGACAGACTGATTTTGATAGATAGATAGATAGTTATAGACAGACTGATTTTGATAGATAGATAGATAGATAGATAGATGGATAAAGACAGATTGATTTTGATAGATAGATAGATAGATAGATAGATAGATAGATAGATAAATAAATAAATAAATAGATAGATAGATATAGACAGACTGATTTTGATAGATAGATAGATAGATAGATAGATAGATAGATATAGACAGACTGATTTAGATAGATAGATAGATAGATAGATAGATAGATAGATAGATAGATAGATAGATAGATAGATAGATGTAGGCTGACTGATTTTGATAGATAGATAGATAGATAGATAGATAGATAGATAGATAGATAGATAGATAGATCAAAATATGCAAATTAGATGTGTTCTGTTATTGCGGATTACCTGACACAATATCGTCAGTGGTGCCGTGAAAATAAGTTTCGTTATGTGCAAATCGAATTCGGATTTTAATGTCAAAGAAAGAAAATTCTCATTAAATCTATCCAGGTTTCCTTGTGTAAACAGAAGGAATGGCTGCTAGGACTTAATATGATTTGCATATATTTATTCTGTGTTAGCAAATTATTAATACAGTGTAATTGTGTTTTCTTCTTATAGTATGTTCGTACTTTCATTTTATTAGTCTCGATTGATTTTTGATTACTGGGGAGAGAATCCAGTTCACTCCTCCTCTTTCTTTCTTTTGTGTATTAAATGTCAAATTTTAATGTTGCTCTGGTTTGTACTCCATATTTTAAATATGTTAGTTTACTACGCCATCAGTAAAATAATTATATTAAAAAAGAATCAAATTTTTTTAGGTTTGTTTGACTTTGGGCAACTTTGAGCTTTGCGAAAATATTATTCCGACATTTTACGGTCAAATTACCGTAAAATCAGTCCTAATATTTTCGGAACGAACAAACTTCAGACCACAACATTTTTCTTTCTCAATATGAGATCAGTATCAATGAAATTCAAAATTTTCCGATGCGCATCATTAACTGTTCCTTTCCGCTATTGTAAATTTGTAGGATGATGATTTGGGTAATGTTCTTTCAGTTGTAATGAGGTTCAGAATAGATTCATTAAACCAGGAGTTCCTAAACTTTTACATGGAAAACGTTTCCACTGACCACCTTTAAATTGAGCATTCAAGAGCATACCAAAAGTTTTTGGTAAGAGTTTTTTACTGGTTCATAAACTGACTTTATGATGCAGTAAAAAATATCAACGCGAGATAACAAATTACACTGAATCATGCGGCAGCTGCTGCTGCTTTTACCGTATTAAAGAACAAACGTAAGCAAACTTCACCATTGAAAACTATATATAAAATTCAGTTTTATATATAAAATATAGGTTAGGGTTAGCGTTGCAAGTGTTAACAAAATAAATAAACGTTTTTTTTTTCATAATTATAAAATAAACAAATAATATGCTCTATAGGAACTAATAAAAAAAATCAGCGAATATTTTTGTTCTTCTTGGTTTTCCCTTACCGTTCGAAGGATATGAACCCATCTCTTGTTCTGATTCGTCAATGTGCGAATGTGAAGATAACTATCTCGACCAGAACTCTAACTGGGCTCGTCGAATTCTCTTTCCAAACCTGTATTCGTTACACCACCTGCACATACACTTCTTGTTTATACAGCGTGCCATATACCTCGCAGGAGTAACTCCTACATGATGCTAAGATATTACTTGCAATGATGCCTTCATCTACCTAATCTCTTATCATTGAGCGATACATCTGAGAGGTATATCTGAGAGTTTTTTCTGCTACCACCTATACTATTAATTTTATAATTATTTGCAAATAAATATGGAGAGATGTGTATATATATATATATATATATATATATATATATATATATATATATATATATATATATATATATATATATATATAATTATAGATAACTAGACTCGTTTTGAAAAACCCTCGAATTTTGATTTGCTAATAATCAAATCAATCTCGAGGAAAAAATGTTTTAAAAAAGAAAGAGCTACAAACATGAACTTCTGCCGACAAAAAAATCGCAGAGATACAGGTCTGAAGCCCAAAGAAAAAACCCCGATACGAGTAAACAACTAACTAACAAAAGCGCTCAATACAACCAGTTTTAAAAACGCAAAAATTAAACATAATACCACGCTATCTACTTATGTATGGAAAACCAAACAGGAAGATAATATAGACCCCATCCTTAAATGGGAAATATTAAAAAAAATTCCCAACATATAAAGCAGGCCATAAATTTTATAAATTATGTGCAGAAAAGAAATTAGCCATAGCTTTATATGATAAACCTAACCAGCTATTAAACTCTAAAACTGAAATCCTTAACGTATGTAGACATAAAAAATCTTGGCTACTAGATTAGACGTTTTCCCATTTATTGTCATTCCACCTTGATATTTTTTTGTTTTTTTTTCCCTCCTCATTTTTGTTGAATAAATATTTTACATAGGTTTGTGTTTGTGGTTCTTTGGTCACGTGGTATGATTTTAGCTATCGCCGATAAATATGCGTTTCTCTTTGCCTCGTTAGCCTTACTTTCCCTGAAGATCCGTTTAGGTGAAACTTAGGTAGGTTTGTCTGGCTCACTAGGTCTATCTATCTATCTATCTATCTATCTATCTATCTATCTATCTATCTATCTATCTATCCCTATCCCTCTCTCTTTCTCTCTCTCTCTCTCTCTCTCTATATATATATATATATATATATATATATATATATATATATATTAATCTACTTACTATGGAATATTTTGGTTCGCTTAAAGTATGTTACTTGATGCTTAGTCAATCTCCAATTGATGATAACGCTTCTCTTAAGTGTACCTCGCCCTAATCCGCAGGTGTCCAGCGTTAGTTTATTTTTAGCTATACATATTTATAAATTACTATCATTAGTGTTACTATAACCATTATTATTATTATTATTATTATTATTATTATTATTATTATTATTATTATATTTATTATTATTATTATTATTATTATTATTATTATTATTATAAAACGCGGGGAAATGTTCATGGAAGAGGAAAAGAAAAATAAATTTAAAAAGAAACGATTTTTAAATAGAATAATAATATCCTTATAATAATGGCACTATTACATTGTAAAAATAAATTTGATAATTTTTATTGCAAAGTAAATATATAATTATTTCATGATGACCATTTTATGCTGTTTTCGTCTTATATTACTTATATTCTGTCAATATTCTTTTCAGCTTTTATAAATAATTACTCAAATATCGGAAATCTGATGAACCCCAGTTCAAGCAGAAACCGGATGATTATAATGGAAACAAAAAAAAATCACTTTTTCAGATGTGCTATCATTTTAAGTCAAAATCGACTATTAAAGGCGAATGAGTTTCTTTGCTTCTATAAGCTCTTCTTTGTTCAAATGAGGTGCTACAAAATGATCATGAATCTAAGCGAAACAAGCTTTTAGAATAATATGAATATTTTTTTGCATGTTTCAACATACTAATTATAAATACGAAGGAAAGTTTCCAGAACGATTTTAGGCGCATAAAATGGAATCGGCGATTCAAATGCATTATCCGGCTCAATTGTCTTTTCAGGTTCGGAAAAAATGTCTAGAAACATTAATCCGTTTCTTCTTCGTCAACCATGAATTTAAAAGAGGCGCAGACTTTTACCCACTACCCTGCAGTTAGTTTGGGATTTGGTCGACTGTAGTGATATCAGTCGGTATCATTTTAAATGGAAACATCTGTGCCGTCACAAAAATTGTTTCAGACATTTATTGTCCTGATGATTATCAGCTAAGTGAATTGGACCTAATAAGCACCATGGCAAACGATTCTGGAAAAAGGGTCACATAATACAGCCAGACCTTGATAAATTACATTTTAAACAAAAATGACATGACAAAAAACAGTGTTCCCTATAAGACAGTAGTTACTACCAGGGAAAGAAATAGTGATCGAGGAAAAGTCACGGAGAGCAACGAGAGACCGCATCTCAAGATGAGAGAGAGAGAGAGACAGACAGACAGACAGAGAGAGAGGAGAGAGAGATAGACTAGAGACAGAGAGAGGAGAGAGAATTTCGATGCATCACAGTTCATCAGTGTGGTTAGATATTCATTAGCGTCAATCCGGGATCGAAACCCTACCGATCTGACATCAGTCGGAAATCCGATAACTACGAATTTAACAACATAGATAGAATTACTATATAAGCCCATAATTCAATCCCTACCCACATTTTTCATCCACGCAAGACAAGCATGCTTGAGGAGGTATAGAGGTCTCACACTTATAGATACACCCGTACTAATATATACACTTACACGCATCATACACACTCCAAAAGAACTAAAAGATAACATACACTTAACACACACACACCCTTCACTGCAACCAATAAAACTGCCAAAATGATCAAGAAGTGAATTCTGAGTATATATATATCGGATTTTAAAAAAGGAAGAAGAAAGAATAAAAATGAAAAATATGTAGAGAAAATATAAAAAAGAACTAAAAATGTTATTATAGGATATGAATTAAAGAAAATAACCAATTAAAAATGTTTTTTATTTAAATTACAAAATGGGAAATATAAAAAATATCTTTTTAAACAAGCCTTATCAAGTGGGGGGGATATAATAATATAAAATCTATATTATTTAATAAATCAAACAAATACCATATCGGTTAACATAAGTAAATCATATAACAAGAATAGACTAATCAGAAAAGAAAAACAACCCTCCGTTACAAAAAAAAAATAAAATAAAAAAACTACAGATATAAAAGAAATTTAACGAGATACAATTAGCAATAAAACAATAATGTTCATCCTGAATAAAGCCTCGATCGTAAATCGTTTTTTACAGTTGGGTGGGGGTGATAATTGGGAAAGAGTTACTCTGTAATTTTCAGTACAATATAAGATTTCATAACCACAGAAAGTCTTACACTATCAAATTGATTTCATTATCAAGTAGTATATGCGTTTTATCGAATAGCGTTTGCTGTGGTCTAATGTATAACGTCACGGAATTTGAATTCAGAGAGCTGAGTTCGAATTCTAGCCGAGTTTGTTACATCCACTTAAGCGGTAATACTCTTGGGAAATGTAAGAACTCATTTGTTTTCCCATCGTCTATGTCGTGAATAAGAGAACAAACTGGGCACTATAGACTTGACTGGCAACCAATCTACTGCAAAAACAAACGGAAACATCCTGCTGGGAAAATGCTTTGTCTCGTCAGCCATGAATTTAAAGAGATATGATCGGCCAAGCGTGTATGACATTTAACTGAATAATATGCGCTTTCACAAAATATAAGCTAGAATGCGGATTCCATTTCCGCTTGAACGTATAATCTTAGACAATTTTGTTCAGTTTTATTTCAACGGCAGAATATAAGAGGTGTGATAAAAAAAAATATATATATATATATATATATATATATATATATATATAACTAGAAATATATTGTTATCCCCAAACAGACTCTTTCGCAGTATCACAGCTTATTAGTGTTGCTATAAATCTGATTGCCTCAAGCAGGGATCGAAAACTGATTCTACCCCTGCGCTATCAGCGCCCGGTAGAGTGGAACGCGAATTTTTGCGTATTTATTCTTTGAATAAACACGCCAGTGACTGAGAGGGCTCAATTCATAGAAGAGCTTTGCATTATCAGCAGTAGTATTCACTGTTTAAAATTCGCGCTTTCTTCCCAGAGTGCTCGACCGAAATTAACTTTTTGGAAGCGCATGTAACTAGAAATATAGTTAAAATAGTGCAACAAACATATTTATTATAAAGCCCCAACGAGGTTAACCTATCATCGTTATCCTGTTCCGCACTTGTAAATTACAATAACTGCGTTGACACACTGATCTGATTCTGGTGAAGATAACCTGACATTTGTGGCGCATTTTACTTTTTTTTTTGTTTTGGAATTATAACAACGTTTAGATTTTTGTCCTGCACTAAAACTATCAGCCATTAAAATGTCGGTTCTATTTTTATTTTCATTGTTTCATAATTTGGAGCTTCTTTATTGCTTTTTTAATATTCATTCCTCACTTCCCCTCCAAATTATTTCTCACTCCTTCTCTCTCTCTCTCTCTCTCTCTCTCTCTATATATATATATATATATATATATATATATATATATATATATATATGCATGTATGTATCTTTCCAATTATGTTATAGTCATTCCTTTTCTTTATTAATGTTTTACAAATTTGTTTTTAATGACCTCATTTCTGTCTAACTTTCTGCTTAATATTTTATTAAAAAAAAAATCACTCTTTGTATTTCTTTATTTCATGTTTTCTCTTTCCACTTCTATTAGTGCAACCCTCTTCTCCAAATTTCGGTTGTATTTCTACCTTTTCTTTATTCCCTCTTTCTTATCCTTTCCCCTCCTCTATTTCAACAAACCCTTCGTCTTCTTCTTTCTAGATTCTTTTCTCTCATTTTGATATTTCGTCTCTTCTTCTTTCTCTTTTGTGCCTTTCATTTCCTTTTCTTTGTTTTTTCTTTCTTTTTTTACTGCATATTTAATTTTTTTTCTTTCTTTTTATTTTTGCAAAGTTTATTTAAGAAAATATATTGTAATTCTTTTCAAAATAAAATATAAGAATTTTTTTATTTTTAAATCCTAAGAACTCTCCTGGAATCTGAAACAAAATGGAATGGTCATGATTAAGGTCATACGCACTTGAAATTTTACAAAAAACTCTCATAATGAGATTTATTAAATTAGATTGATGGAGGTTCAGGGGACGAAAATTTGTTTGTTTAAAAATATTCAACTCACCTAAAAAGAAAATGTAAATGAAAAGATGAAACAATGAATCCAAAGTGTTCATATTGCAAAAAAAAAACATTTAGAGTCTTTTTTTTTTGACCATTTTTTGTACATCTGGAAATAGACTGGATACAGGAAGATTCCTCAGTGAGTGTCGTTACTACGTCGACTCAATCCAATACATACGTCTACTACTCGTACTACTACGCGGACTACCTACTTATTATTTAATCCTTTACATTGTATACCGACCGAGCGGGCGTAATAATATGCAAAATAACTAACAGCAGGTATATTTAACAGATAATCGTTCGGCTCTGTTCTAAAATGTGTTACTTGTAGATTATGACATGTCTAATAATAACTGTTTATGCCTAAAAGCTAAAATTTTGCATATAAATAATTTGATGTATGCTTAATATGTTGGGCACATTTTATTGTTCTCTATAAAGAATAAGTTAATTTAATTTTAATTTCTGCCGGAATATCGTATCTTACTAATAATTTTCAATAAAAGATTTTTGGTTTGTCTAAAATTTAATAATACAGTATGTTTGAAGATGTTGTCCGCTACAATTTGGATCTGTCTTACGTGCATGTCTTACAAAATTTTAATTTATAGAAATTAAAAAATAATGTTCTTCATAAACACTGGAAAATATTTTAAGAAAATATAGACTGTTCATACCACGATGGTATGGGAAGTTTTTTTGTAATGCTGTCCACGCGATTAGACTTTCAAATCCTTGAAACAGCATGGTTGCGCAAAGCAAAACTAAAAATAGAAGCCCGAACGCTTTTGAAAGCTATACATATTTTTTTTTTAAATTGTCATCACCACTGTAATGAATTAAAGTCATGAAAATGCAAGGGGTTACCGGTTCTGGAAGAATTACGAAGAGAAACATTATTAATGAACGGGAAGATCAAATAGTAATCCGTAGGACAGCATTTAATTTTTTTTCA